AACACTTGTTCTGAAATATCACAACATTGTACTTCTATAGGTCTGAAGCATTATAACAGAAAATTAACTATATATGGTGTGATATTAAAGTTATAACATGGATGTCAAAATGCAAGGAGGTGTTGTCATGATCTGGCTGAGCACTTTCCCAGTGCAAATGTCATCACAGTCACTGTGTTCCTTTAGAATATTTCAAGACAGCAGCATTTACCAGTGAAAAAATGCCCAAGAAGTATTCAACCCTTCCTCCTGTGCCTGTCAGAGGTGTCACATGTGTGGCTGTGCTCCCACTGTGCTCCCAGGTGGGCCTGGAGAGCTGTGGGGGATGATTTCTATCCAGTACAGCAGCTGGATAATTTGTTTGGTATTAAATCTGGGGGGATTCAATGTTGGGGACAGGGAGAGGCTGAGGCCAGACTCAGGCCTGCGTGCAGCTACTTGGTCAAACAGGACTTGGTTGGGAGTCACCTATGGGTGGTATTTACATTTGAATAGTAAGAAATTCCCTGTTAGCCTTTTTCTGGGTGAATTAACTCAAAAACCTCCTTCTTAAAGTCCCTTGGAGTGGAGGGGGCGGGGGGAGATGTCCCAGCCTGCTGTGGAACTAGGCTTTGGGGCACTTTCAGACACCTCAAGTTTTTCTGCAGCCCCTCTGCTCTTCAGTGGTAACCACTGGGGGGCAGGGGGGCAGAGGGATGGGGGACCCCTGCCCTGAGACCCCCAGGACCATCTGCATTGGGCTGTTCATGCCAGGATCAGCACTTCCAAATTTAAACACCTCCATGTCTGAGCTGGACTCGGTTGGGGTAGGGTCTGTGCCATCCCTCACCATAAAACTCTTTATTGACTTTGGTTTTAAGGTCCTGTGCTGATCTTGGTTTATATCCCACTCCTCTCTGCTCCTCTGTTTTCTTACAGCAGCCAACCACTGGAGATTTCCCATTCCTTCCTTGCAGTGTGTTTGTTGGGAAGGAGGGAGAGAAGGGGAAAACGGGGTAGCTGATGGTTTGTGTGTCAATTATACATCAGAGGCTTTACTGCTGCTTCAGAAGCTTCTAATAATAATAATTATAATTAGGGCACTGGGAGAGAAATGTGCTGAGATCAGGGAGGAAAGCAAGAAAGCCAGGCCAGAATTAATTAGCCACTTTTATCTAAGAATCTCATAGCATTTAGACATTAATTAATGAATTCGATGGTTAAATGAGCATGATGCTTGATTTGCACCAGAGTCATGGCCGAGCTCAGGCTCAGCACCTCTCTTTGCCCAGCCCTGGGTCCTGCAGGGTGAATGCTGCTGCAGGTGCTTCCCTCTTGCTGCTAAACACAGAGAAATAGTTCTTTTTCTCCTTTTGGTTCTGTCTGTCACTCTGAAAGCACTTAAATCTGGGGTGAGGAGAGCTGGTTAGATATACACTGTTGGGAGCTGTGCAAATCCCCCAGCTCAGGAGATGCACATCCCCTGCACACTGAACACTAGTGCCTTACCATAGGGAACAAATGTTTTCTGCTGACCCAGACTCAAACTCAGTGAAATCTCCCACCTGTGGCACTGAGATTATTCCTGGGGCTCCAGCAAAACCGTTTATTTCATGGCAAAATGTTGCCCAAAGGAAAAAAGTGACCCTGGCAGCAGTTTTCCTCTAATCATAAGGCTCTGCTGGGCAGTGTGAGAGGGTGGCCCAGTGTGGGGAGTTGGTGGTTAACAAAAAGAAACCTGTTCTCCTCTACCCCGTGGTTTTCTCAGAGTGGAGGCGCAGTTCAGGGTGCAGAAAGATCTCCCTGGCTGGAGCTCTCCCTGCAGCACCAGCAGCTTAGCTGAGCTTTCACATTTCCCAGTGGTCTGAAGATCTTTCTGTCCCATGAGCCCCTTCCCCACCAGCTGGCCCAGGCCAACTCACCTCATCGGTGCCAGGGGAGGCCTCTGCCCAGGGAGCATCTCCAAACCCTGTGACTGTTCCCAGTATCACATCTCACCTGGGTTCTGCAGTTCTGCCTCATGAATAGATGAGTTTCTGCCTCCCGGCTCACCTGTGGTATGCCCAGAGTTGGTGAATATTCATTAACCGAAATTAGCATCTATTAGGTCTTTATTGACTTATAAAAGCCTTGTTTTGTGATAATGAAGTTTATACTGTAGTTTTGCCTGATGGCAGCTGGTGGGTCCCTCTGCCCAAGCCACCAACCCCGAGCTGGGTCTGGCCAGGACACAGGTGGCTGAGTCCCTTCTTCCCCAGAGCCCATGGAAGCTGTGGCTGCCCCCTCCCTGGAAGTGTTCAAGGCCAGGTTGAAGCAACCTGGTATAGTGGAAGGTAGGGCCCAGAGCAGGAGATTGGAATGAGATGAGCTTTAAGGTTCCTTCCGACCCAAATCATTCTGGGATTGTATGACAGCCATGAAGTTACAGCTGGGAGAAGCATGTCTGTGATCTGAGCACGTGCTGAACATGAGGGCAGACTTACAGACTTTCACTGGATGATCATAGCAGTGTCCTGTGCCGCTGCAGGGGCGGATGTTCAGGGGTTGATGATTGATTTGGGCAGTTTGGGCACTTAAGGCGTGTTTTGGACCTCTGTTCCTTGGCTGGGTGAGCGCAGCCCTTTGGGTTTCATGGACTGTCCCTCTGCTGTGGGATGTAGATGTGGTTTGGCTGAATGTCCCTATGAATTGGCTTGGAAGCTGTTAGGAGGGCACGAGAAGTGCCACGCTCAGAGCCGGCGGTGGGAGGTGGGAGGAGGTTACACGGTGCTAATGGGAACTGACCTGAGCAATAACCTTCTCCCTCTCAGCTCATTTTTCACTATTTCTCAGACTTCATTCAGTTTGGTGTGAGGGGTCAGCAGCGAGGGCAACAGGAACAAGTCACTCTGGTGTTGGGGCAGGCAAGCATTCCCCACGGTGCTGCCATGAGCTTGGTCCTGCTGTTCACCGGGAAGGAGGGAGACAGTGCCCAGAGGGAAAATATGTTGGAAAGAGCTGGTGGCAGCACTGCTGCTTGTCAAATATGTTTCCTCTGTTAGGATTCACTGTTGTCCCTAAATGCACAGAGGCGACACGGGGAAAATCACTGATTTACAGGTGAGAAGAGCAAAAGTGCTCACAGGGGGTGAGCAGGAACTGCTGGGATGGAGACTCTCCCTTCCCACACCAACCTGCTCTCCAGGGCTGGCCACAAAAACGCTCACTGCTTCCACCTGATTGATTTTGCCTTCCAAGCAGTAGTGGCTGCTCGCTGGAATCACTCACTCTGTGTTTGGGAAGGGCAGAGCTCTGGAGCCAGCCCTCGCAGGGAGCAGCCATCAGAAAAATCCTCACAGAGCTGGAATGTCAGCTGCAATAAGGAGCTGGAATCCACACAGCTCCTGGAAGTGTTCTCAGAGCACACGTGATCAGGGTTTTACACGGGCTCAGAACATGGTGCCTTTGTCCAAGCCCAGCAAATGATAAAAATCTTCAATTTAGCCATTATTGACTGTTTTAAGACAAGATACAGGACAGAATTGAAGCGAGTCTGTAAATTAGACGTAGCCCCACAGCTCACAGACCGAGAGACTCCTTCATCATTGACAAGGAAGAGGAAGGAGGAAATGAGGAGGCTTGGTGACTTTGTTTTTCTGCCTGTTCCTGTAAATTACGTGCTCTGTGTTCTCAGCTGAGAAAAGACAGAGACACAGAAGAGCAGGGCAGTGACTGTCAGTGGCTTTGTAACCACCGTGAGCTCACAGGGCCCCTACTCCAGGCTCTAATCCTTGGGCTCAGGAGCTGCAAATTGGCCTTTCCTTTTTTCCCCCCATTTTTTGGTGAGGGTCTGTGTCTGGAATGGTGACACCAAACTGTCCCCTCAGCCCGTGGTGTGAGGAGGTTTCCCCGTTGGCCTCACCTCCTGCTGCTCCACTGGAGCCCTGGCAGGGCTGTGACCCTGGCACTGTGTGTCACCTGACACTGCTGCAAATCCCAGGGCAGTGTTGTGGCTCTGACCAGACCACCCTGTCCCCTACTCCTTGTCCTGCTGTAAGAGACCCCTCAACCCTGGGGTGTGACTCTGGGGATGGAGCTGCAGTGGGACTCTGGGTCACAGATGAGACCTGGGGCTGCAGTGCTGCTCTGATGTTGCAAAGCTTAATGATGCTTTCTCTTGGTTTGGATGATGTTACTACTCTGCATGAGCTGGGAATGGTAATTCCATTTTAGTGGGAAGATGGATGCTTCCAAATGACATTTATCTCTGTGATGACTGCGGTGTGGTCAGGGAGCAGTTGTTAGCAGTGCCAGCTCTCCCCTTTGTCACGGATTACTGCGGCTGGGCAGGATTCCAGCTGAAAAACAAAAATTCCATCCCTCCACCGCATGAATCAGGAAATAGTTACTGTCCTGTGGTTTCATCACTGAGGTCATGCAAATGAGGACTGTGTTTCCTCAAAGCCTCTGTTTTGTGTGTGACCAGGCCTTCGTGTGTGGGGAGACTGCTCAGGGGCAGGTGGGACACCCACAGCATCGGGTTTGGGGAGGGTAAAGGGATGCTGGGGTTTGATGCCCACAAGGACAGAGGCTGGTGATGCTGGCTGCACCATCTGGCAGCCCCAGCTGGCTCAGCAATTGAGCCTCAGAGAAGAAATGGTGTCTGGAGAAATTGGGTGCTCCAGCTGTGGTCCCTCACTCAGGTTAAACATGGATCCTTGAGTGGAGATTTCTCACTGAGGATCTTGGAAAATTTTCGGACCCCCATTGGATATTGCAGGGACCTGAGCAGCACATGCCAGTGGAATGGATGGAGGAGTTCCAGGGTTAATAGGAATCAGCTCCTGATTGAGACTGGGTGGAGGGTTTGCTGGCAGTTTGTGGTGACGTTCAGGGAAGTTCCCTGCAAGGGTTCCTGTGGCACTGGCTGCCTGTGTCCATCCCGACCCCCATGGTGCCAGCAGGGCTGAGCAGCCTGTCCTGAGTGTGGGTGGGGGTCTGGAGCTGTTGGTCACCCCAGGCACTCTCTGTTCCTCTTGCAGGTGAGCCCTCCCGGTGGTCCTCATCCCACTGCGACTGCTGCTGCAAGAACGGCAAAGGCGACAAGGAGGGAGAGAGCGGCACATCCTGCAACGAGCTGTCGACGTCCAGCTGCGACAGCCAGTCGGAGGCCAGCTCCCCCCAGGAGACCGTCATCTGCGGCCCCGTCACGCGCCAGACCAACATACAGACTCTGGACCGGCCGGCCAAGAAGGGCCCTGTGCAGCTGCTGCAGCAGTCCGAGATCCGCAGGAAGAGCGACCTGCTCCGGACTCTCACCTCTGGCTCCCGGGAGTCCAACTCCAGCAAGAAAAAACAAGTGAAGGAGAAGCTCTCCATTGAGGAGGAGCTGGAAAAATGTATCCAGGATTTCCTCAAAATCAAAATCCCAGACCGGTTTCCCGAGAGGAAACACCCCTGGCAATCTGAACTGCTGCGGAAGTACCACCTTTAGGCTCAGGGTGGGGAGAGCACATGACCTTGTTACATTAGAGACAGATCCTAAGTGATACAAAAATAATTCCCAATAATAATTATTTGTTAGGTCACCGAAACCAAAATCCATCTCTAGTACTGCCTAATTTGCCTCTTTCACCTTAACATTTCTAGTCGTAGGGTAACGATATTTTTTGCAGTCCTGGAAGCACAATGACAAACGCTTTCGTTTGTAAACTCGGAGTCTTACACAAGCTGAAAACCTTAAGGGCACAACCAGACCCATGCCAAGGGATGGTTGCATGCAGCTGCCAGTGCCGTGGGAGCGTGGCCTGGGAACAGGCAGGTCAGGGGGATGTGAGCTCCGTGCCCTCTGTGTCCTCCTCGGAGCACATCTGTTTGGAGGGAGGTGCACACTGCGAAGCCCCGAGCTCTGCCGTGGCAGTTTAAGCATGTGTATATATATATATGTGCATATATATATGTGTGTATATATATCTCTGTGTATATATATATGTATATATATATATCTATATATATATATCAATATATATTGCTTAAAGATTTTCTGGCTCTCTCCTCATAACTGCACTTTCTCAGAAAAGCGCATTTTTTAGCCGTCTGTGGATGTTCAGTTTCTTCTCCAGGTCTTTGAGGGCTGAACAGTAGAAGTCCATCTCACTGTCTCTCCCCTGCTCCCTCTCCCTGTCTTTACCCCTTCTCTGAGACACTGTAAATGCGTTTCAGTGGAGACCAGGGTGCAGTCTGTGGTTCTTTGTTACCATCAGCAAATACTCCCATTTGTTTTGGATGATCTTGTCCCTCTGTGTCCTCCCCACACCTCTTGTGTTCCTCAAGGCTCCCCAGTGTCAGTGGGTTAAAGGTGTGCTGATCCCAGCTGGAAAGCTGTAGGGCTGGTTCCACGGCTGTGTGTGGAGTGGCTGTGCTGGTTTTTGTGGATGCCAGGCACAAGTGCCAGGGGTGTCTATCCCAGCTGGCAGGGACAGAGGGCACTGTATCCCATCCGGCACAGAAGCACCCACAGAAATCACCCACCCAACCAGCCCCATGGTGCTTTGTGCGTGGGGATCCACTGTTGGAGGAGAGAGTAGGTGTGTGCCAAGAGAAAGTACAACCCCAGGAGGTACCTGCGTTCCATCCCACGGATCCCATGGTGGGACAGCCAGCAAACTGCACCGTGTGTGCCGTGTCACCCCCGGAGCCATGGGAAAGGCTGGTCCTGCACTGACCCACAGGGAAAGGGTGCAGGTGGGTCTATGGGGCGCAGAAGTGCCAAGGCCAGGTAAGGCCAGAGCATGGCAGCACAGATCAGAGAGTGTCAGGGGGTTGGCAGGTGGCAAAAGCATGGGATCAACCAAACAGGGAGCAGGGGAGCGCCGGGGGGGCTCAGCTCTGGGGGCTCAGGCTGCCAAGGAGGGAAGCCATGGAGAGTGATGGAAAACTTAATTGCTCCAGCTATCCTGTGTTGGCCACATCTGGGAACAACCCAGCTGGAGGATTTGGGATAAATTTTTCGTTTTCTAAAGGCACAGAAAGAAGATTTTATATATATAGAAAAAACTACAGACAATGACAGTGCTGGTAGCACAGAGTACTTGGATTTTGACTCATTTAGCATCCTGCAGGTTCGAGGGCTTCCCACCTACTAAATTCCAGAGGTTGCTGTGGGAGATGATGCTGTCCCATCTGCACTGGTTCTCTCTGTGATCCTCATGCAGTTCCAGCAAGATGGAAGCTTGGTTCCTGTGGGGTTCCATCATGCCCAGCTGGGACAGAGGGGTTTGGCAGAGAACTGTGAGGTCTTCACAAGCACACAGGTGTGTTTTGGTGAGGATGCACATTTTACCAGCAACAATAGGAAGCAATACTTGTCCAGAGGGATCCATAAGCCTGAGCCGGCTGTGGGGAGGGGGAAACCCTCCCAGCAATACATCTCCAGGTTGGGGCAGAACAGGGCTTGGATGTAGCAGCTGGTCATCACCTCTGGAGATTGTACATGAAGAAGGTGCCATTCCTTACAGCTGGCATGCCGTGTTGGTACCAAGGATTGGGAATGAGAGGCTCTGGGCTGGGAAATGCTCAGTGAGGAAACTCAGAGCTTCCCAGAACTGTGCTTTAGAACGAGTTCAGGTTTTAGGACATTCCCTCATGCTGGAGTTCAGACCTGGCTGTTGTGCTACCTTCCACTTACAGGCTCAAAAGGCACATTTTCCAGCAGAAACTAATGTTTTACACAAGATCCATACATTTGGCCCTGCTTAGTTGTGTTGTGGTTAGTTTATAACATTTTTCTTTTCCTGCTAAACATTTCCCACACCTTACCCTCCTGCTCTGGCACCAAGCAAGAAAAACTGAAGAACAGCTAGGGCTCTCCTCTGGATTTCCAGCAGAGAATGGGGTTGGGAACAGGTCCCCTTGTTCCTCGGCAGCAGACTGGAGCTAAAATCTTGTCCTTTCAATCCAGATCTTTCCAAGTCTCTCTTTAATATCACAAATATTTGGGCTATAAACTGCGTGTGCCAGAGTGGAAGAACAGGCATTGGATGTGTGTGTGTGTGTGTGTGTTCCCAGGCTGATGTTCTGGGGACACAGGATTGCTCAGTGATTAATAACTGTGGAAAAATTAGACCAAATGAAATGCGCCTGAGTGGGCTTGATTTATGTGGCCTTCATGTCTCCAGTTTGAGATGAAATGGTTATTACTCTCCAGTGCTACAGAAATAAAGGTCTTAAACTTCAGTAATCACAAGCAGGCCAAACCTGCTGGGAAACCCAATTTGAGATGGGGCTGGAGGAAGGCAGTGCCCAGACGTGGGGCTCGTGTGTGTGTGTATGTTTGTGTGTGTTCTGCTGTGCTACTAAGGGGTCTTGTTCTGGTCTAACTACATGTATGGTTGTTTTATGAGTGGCTTGTACAGAGCTGGGGCTGTGCTGCCAGGTTTTGTGCTGCTCATAGTGACTGGTGGGCTGTAGGTGGAACACAGGAGGCCTGGGTGGTGGTGGGGGGCTGTCACTCCTCCCCAACAGAGTCAGAGCTGTGTGGATGCTGCCCAGAGCTCCCCTTTTCTCCATCCTCACTCACTGCTCTCTCTGCACCACCACTGTTCCATGGCACCCCCTCAAAAAGCCACATTTGGGGCACCTCATTCTGCCACCACTGGGCAGGGGCAGGGGATGGGAGCATCCAGCAATGGTGTGGAAAAACCATGGGCAGGTAGAGACAGGGACCAGGGGAATTAAAAATGCTGCTCCATGGTGGCCCCATAGTTCAGCTGTGTGTGGCAGTGGGTCAGGAAAGAGCAATCAAACCTTCTGCAGGCACCAGGATGGTGGCAGGAGGGTGACAGTAATTCTGGAAGACCTGTTCCTAAAAATAGTGCCATGGACATATAGAGACACAAAACTATATATACTTCCATGTAGTTGGATAGTTATAATCACACTCCTAGGGATGAAAGAAAGGTGCCAATGCCTTCTTGGAAAGGTTGTTCCCCATCCCCTCAGGGGTGGGCACCTCTCACTGTTCCCAGGGACAGGAAATCCCTGCAATAGGTGGGTGTCAAAGTGGTACCTCAAAGCCTATGGCAAATAGGAGGAGGGAAATGTGGCCCATGCTCGGTGTGTCCAGAACCTTCCTCCTACCAGGGCTTTTCCCTGAGGCTGTGCTGGGAAATGGGGCCATGAAGGGAAGAATGGAGACAAGGTATTTCAGAGGAAAAAAGGAAACTGGAATGAGATTGCCAGAAAGGCAGATGGGTTTTGGGCTCTAAAGTATATTCTACTCAATTCTACTTTGTTTCAGTGAGAGAACCCATGTCTCTCCCTAGGACAGTTTTGGTAGCAATCCAAAATTAAACTCAGTTCACAGAGTACTTTATTCTTTCTAAAATATCTGGGGGGCAAACTGGACTTTGAGCTACTTTCCACACATAATGAAGACCAAATATAAGTTCTGTTGAAACTAACTGAAAAACTTACATTGACTTCAGTGGGACTGAGACTCCCCTAAAACAACTTTTCTCAAGAAAAATGGGCACCTGCCCCAGTGAGGATGAGTAAGAACATACACATCCATGTACATTGCTTGTGTGGCACAGGTCCAGTCATTTGGGGATGGTGTGGCACAGCCAGTCTGTAAATATCATGGCCTGGTCTTACTTAAGCTTAGCTTAGGGCACTGGGGAGGGAATGTGGTGAGCAACCCCTGCCCCTATGGGCCATGGGGTGGGTGACACAGCTCCTGTCACAGCCACCCACATCCCACCTGCACTGGTGCCCATGACAGCTTCCACCTCTCCTGGGCAGAATTCCCAGTTTCCAAGGGTTTTGTTATGTGCCCAAACACCTCGAGACACCTGAGCAGGACTCAGAGCATCAGGGGGAGACACAGGGAGAATGTGTCAGTTTACACAGACCCACGGGGACCAAATTATTTTACCATCTGCACACACTGTCCAGAGGCTTCACAGTGCTCTGGAGAACATTTTAGTGTTTTAATTCTAGTTTGGTGGTCCATTTATTAATTTCATTTTCAAATTGAGGGCTGAAGGAGAAGACAAGGTTGGAGTTTATTGGCAATGGCCATCATGTAACCAAGCCCTTCAGCTGTGTCCCAATCTGTTCTCCCAGCCCTAGGAAGGCTGGAGGAAACTTTCCAGCTCCTTACCCTTCCCAAAGCCCTTCCTACCACGGCGAGTATGGACTTTCAGAGTACTTTATGCACAAGGCCCCATGTGTATCATGGTACAAAATAATTGTCCAGTCTTATGGATAGTTTATGCCCCAACGGGGTTTTGTAGATTAATAGTAAAAGGACAGAAAAAAAAAAAAAGAAAAAGCACTTTTAAATTATTTATATTATAAAAAGACATTCTTTATTTTTCTTGGCATCGATGTCACTTAGCTAAAAAATCCGTTTATAAATAGGATATTGCAGATTTTAAACTATAGCAATGCTAAAGCAAACACAAAAAAGCAGAATTCAGAGTTACACAGACAAAACTTACTGAGGTGAAGCAGGAGGGTGGCAGGGCCCAGCTGGCTGAACGGGTGGGCGTTGGAGTTGAGGGGGATGATGTCCTCCCTGGGGCCCCTTTGTGGTCCCCTCTGGCCATCCCCAGCCCCAGGGAGGTGGCTGGACCAGTTCCCCCCCAGTCATTTGGGGTTGTACAAAAGAGCAGGTGCTGCCAGTGCAATATTGTCCCAGCCAACACGGGGTGTAGAGGGGGTTTGGTGATGTTGTGATCTCTCGGGGCCTTGCTTACGTTACATTTTCGGACCTCATACAGCACTTAATGACTTCGCTGAGGCTGAGTCAGTCTGTTGCACATTGATGTAGATTAAGTGGCACCCACTGAATTACCTCTCGACTTTCCAACGTGGTTCACTTGTACATAAGTGTAATGTCAAACTGTTTACAGGTTCTTTTGTGCGTAATTGTGGAAAAAAAAAAAAAGTTTTAACTACAAATTTAAAGGAATCGATTTTACTGGAAGGTGTTTAAAAAAAATGAATGTGCTTAATACAGTATAGACATCCTTGCTAATGGTCTCACCTGAATGCATGTATCCGTGTTGTCAGTCCCCACCAGTGAGGTTATTGGCAATATTCTGCAGTCTGTGAATAGCAAATATGCATAAACTACTGTGACTCTGACAAATATAACTCGGTAACTGTTTCTACTGTGGTATGTAAAAAAAAAAAAATCTTGTAGCTTTTAGCCTGCTGTATTTCCCTGGTGCAAAGAACACCAGGAAAAAGAGAGATCTTGGAAAAAATGAAGTCACAGCTGTGACCTGTGTGGGGTCATTCATGCAATGGCACCTTCTGGGTCGCTGTGGTACAAGCGCTAAAAATGCCATTTTTAGAGGCTGGGAGGTGGGAAGTGAAGGTGTTGCTGCTGCCTTCTGCTCTGGCATTGCTGCTGGAAGCAGAGCTGGCCTTTGGCTCAGGGGATGATGAGTGAAGAGCTGCTCCACGTGCAGGGTGGGTGTCAGACCCTGCATGGGGGGAGCACAGCACCGGTGTCAGGACGCTGGGCGACTGAAAACTGCAGCCAATTTGTGTCTTGCCATTCAAATAAAGCAGTGAATATACACTGTAAGAGCACAGACAAGAATAAATAAGTTGGTATCCTTCAACTGTCACATACACACGCAGGAATACATCCAGAGATCCATCCAGGCTTTCTTGCCCATGGGGATTTAGCACTTCCCTCCCTCCCAGCGGGGCATTATTCTCCTGTGAAAGTGATGGGTATTTTTCCTCATTTATTTCTGGGTTGGTCTGAAAATAGCAGTTCAGTGGTCAC